ATAAAACAAGCATTTTTACATTTTTGTCATTAGTGAAGTTTAGTTTTTTGATAAATCCAAAATTTAAAATCTATTTTTCTGATTTTGTTTTGAATGAAAAACAAACTAAATACGTGAAATTGAATAATAATTACATATTTCGTCTACAACCGGACTAGTTTCGAGTTTCGACAAATTTTAAAGGTGGAGATTGATTTTCAACGTCACAACTAAAAGTGACCAATTTTTAATATTCTGGTTATGTCATAAAATTTTTATTTTTATGGACGCATCCGGATTTCGTTCTAAATTTGGTGTTACTATTTTACAAAGATCTATCTTTTTTTCTTTCTATAGTAGTATGTTGTACTGTAACACTTAATTCTCTCTTTTAGTTGTATTCCGAAAATGCAAAAGTAATGAAATCAATGTTTGTCCAAAAAAGAAAATTAGATTATGATATGGCTACAATATTCGTAAAAACATCAAACAAATACCAACAGTTTTAGATTTGATTGGTTTCTATCAAAAATCTAATCGAAAATGAAACAGTCGATTATGATGTAGCTATGATATATACGTATAAATCACTAAGTTACGTGTACCGGTCTAACAAAACAAACAGTTCTTAGACGATTAAACTCTTTAAATGCGATTGGTTTCTATTGAAAAATCAATCGAAAATGAAAGAGTCAGTGAAACTTCCATGCTTCGTATAGCTTTTAGCTTCCCATGCAGAATGATATCCAAAACTGAACAGAATTATGAAACAGAAACGGTCACATTTAGTAATTGTCACATGTCAGAAACACGAGCGTGACACTTTGTTTCTTAGACCTTATCAAAAGCCACCATTTCTGTTTGAACAACTTGGTTAAAGACAGATCTTCGCCTCCCATTTCGTCCAATCACCATTTTTCGCCCTCTTATTTATGTCTTTTTGTAGATATAATTACTTTAAATGTATATGAATATTATGACAAAAGGATCAAATCCAACGGTCAGGATGGGTCACCGACTAGTGACCAGAGAATCTGCCGTGAAATGGGAACATCACATCCACCCATATACAAGATTCACTTCTCTTTCTTGTTTCTTCTATATGAATCTTCAATACATATATTCAATAGTATTTTATTGTTCACCTCAACAGAAATCTTTATATGAATTATTATGAAAAGAGACCCCACTAGGAAGCCAAAGGAAAACAAGAATTTCAGACGTGAAAACTATTAAAGCAGACCACAGTTTTGTTTAATACCATAGTATATACTTCCTCTGTTTCAAAATATAAGTTGTTTTAGCAAAAAACACGGATATTACAAAATTACTTTTTAACTAAAAAATATTATTTAATATATCTAATAAAAATAATTTGACCAATCACACAAAAAACTGCAAAATACTAATGGTCACACAATATTCAATAAAGTTAAAAGTACCTAGTATTGT